CATGTCTACTCGGGGCGGCTTACAACATAAAATAAGACAATGTAAAATATAACTAATCATAAAATACAATTAATATATTAGTTAATACAATTAGATTAAAATTAGCAGAATGGAATGAGGTGAGAGAAAGAAAATAAAAAAAAAACTTAGCTGACTGGAGGGAAGGCCTGCTTAAATAGCCAAGTTTTTAACTTTTTTTAAAAACACCCAGCGAGGGTGCCAGCCGAATTTCTGATGGAAGGGCATTCCACAGCTGGGACCTTTGATGTCTCTGGACCTGAAGACGAGTTTGTAGAAGAAGTGGAGTATTAGCTAGGTGTTCCTATACCACCTCTTCACCCACCTTAGGAAGCAGTCTCCTCAAATGATTGTTGATTATGTTTCCTCTTGGTAGAACATGGTTTCCTTTGGGGGTGAAACAGAAGCAAAAGCTGAACAGATTCCCTTTCTCATCCATTCACATTTCTCCATCCTTTCGATGTTAGCAGACCTATCACTTCCTTGTTCTTCCCCTTGCTCTGGATGTAGCCAAACCCTGCCCCCTTTTATTATTTTTTAACCTTTCTTGCAAATCTGAAATCATTCTGAGTTGTGCCCTCCAGAATTTTATTATTATTATCAAAACACATTGGCTACTGGTTTGTACTTTCCCACAGTGTTTTGCTGCTCTTTCCACTTCATATACACATGGTTCTGTCAAATCTCAGCTCATATAAGAGCTTCTTGTACATATACCTTGAATACTTTTGATACCTCCCACTCATCTTTCTCACAGGAAATGTGTGTGATTATGCTGTTAATGCTTCATTTTTAAGAAACGCCCATGCATTATGAACTCCCTTCTCTTCAAGAATTTCTGGCCATGGAATCTCGCTCATTATTTCCTTAACTACCTTGAATACTTTTGGTACCTCCCACTCATCTTTCTCACAGGAGGTGTGTGTGATTATGCTGTTAATGCTTCGTTTTTAAGAAACGCCCATGCATTATGAACTCCCTTCTCTTCAAGAATTTCTGGCCATGGAATCTCGCTCATTATTTCCTTAAACTTATTTATTTATTTATTTATTTATTCAATTTATATGCCGCCCAAACTACCCAGAGGTCTCTGGGCGGCTTACAATAATTAAAATTCAATACAGCAAAAGATAAAATAATTAAAATACAATTAAAATACAACTCATTATTTCCTTAAACTTATTGAGGGAAAAGGAAAACCCAGGCCCCCCAGGGTCCTTCATCTTCTTATCTAAAGCTTCATAGTCTGGCTGCAGTTTTGCCATGAGGAAAAAGGAACACCCAGGCCCCCAGGGTCCTTCATCTTCTTATCTAAAGCTTCATAGTCTGGCTGCAGCGTTGATCCACATGTGGATCTGGAGGGGAGGGATGATGGTTGGTGAGGGTTGATGAGTGTTGGCAAGTTCCCTGTCACACCATGTATCTCCACACTGGGAGACATCTGGTCTGCAAATTGCTGCCCCCTTCCCTTTAGTACTTCTGTGCTCTTAAGGCTGCAACTGCTATCCCTGTTCCAATGGCCAACTGGCCAAGTGGAAGACCTGATGCTGTAGCTCCAGGGACATGGAGTGTTTCTTGATAGCCTCACTTCTCTGAGTCACGTTCTTTCAAGTGTTTGACTCAAGAGAGGGGAAGCAATGTACGCTGCCTAGAGAACTCTAGTTAGCAGGAGGTTCAAAAGTGCAGTGAACAACAGACAAAGAAACAGTGGCACTGAACAGGACTGAGAAAAGGAGAACATGCTTACAGGAAAGTGTTTTTAAAGAAAATCTCTCACACATTATCACACTCCATCAAAACTATGATTTTCAAACCCAAAATCTGATGTAACCTTAATATACGACAAAGTCTCCAGTAAATGTGCCATTGAGTTTCCACTGAAATCTTGGACACCCATTGCCAGTGTGAACAACACCCTCGAAGGGCATCAGAATGCAGTAGACGGTTCTGAGACATGTTGGGCCCAAGCCATTAAGGACATTTGAGGCTAAGTTGGACTGTGATTCAATGCAGACAGTGGCGCTTGGCATTATTGGCTTCGGGGAATCTGTTCCCTGCCAAAAGCACCATGTTTCAGACCAGAAGAAAGGGAAGAGAATAACATCTCACCCAAAGCGTCTTCTGGTGGTGAGGTCTCAACATTATGAAATCTTCCATGATATTCAGTCCGTGTGGTGGTTTGGATAATCTTCTCACTTCCTGGGACATTCAGCTCTTTCTGATCCAGCTTCTTAATCCCAGATCTGTGACCATGATAACTTTCTTTATAACTGTTTCCTTTTAGTTTGGTACCATCCACTGTGTCACTTTAATGCCATGCAGGTACCTGAAGAAGCAGCTGAACAAATGGAAGGACAAAGTGCAGGTTTTCCGTTCTGCTCAAGAAGAAAAAAACTGCACTCTGGAAACAAAACTCCATGAGCTAAGAGCAAGCCAAGAGAACCTCAAGGTGGAACTTCAGCAAATGAGAATAGAAATTAAGGTACAAATAGGCCAAACAGGCCCTTGGACCACCTATAGAATGTTCACCCATAATTGTTTTAAGTTGCAGAAGAAAGGAGCCCAATGTAGATTAGAATCTTGCCAAAACAGACGTATAAACCAAATGATGTTGTCCTTACCCAAGAGAAGCTTCCATTGTGGCACAAAGTGGCTTTAGAAGGGAGTGTTTTTTGTTGGGACTATGGCAGGGGAAGACAGGAGGAAGGGTTAAACTCCAGTGCCCCTTCTGCCATGGTCCAATCCTGATCGTCTGCTCCCCACATAAGGGCTATTTCCCTTCCCTTCCCATGAGCCAGTCACAATAAATATATATAAGGTAATGGACTGAGACTAGGTTCTCAGGTCTGAGGAAGACAGCTGACATATTAGGGAATCGTAATGCTGCTCCAGCTAGAGAGGGAAGGTGAAGGATAACAGTTTGACTTCTGTCTTCAGATTGGGGACACTCATCCTAGCTATTGTCAGGATTTGCTGACAGTGGAAAAATGTGTGTCTGTTGTGCATATTTTCCTCCCAAACCTTGCCTGCCCTGCCTCTGTGATTTCACGACACCCCAATCCTAGGCCATCACAGAGAGTCTTCCGACTGATGCCTAATTCTCAAGTGATAAACGTTGTTATTCATGGTTTTCCTAATCTTTGCACGTTTCAAGTCTGCTCTCCATTCTGCAAATCTGCTCTGAGGAGGCAGGGTGTGTAATGTCAGTGGTTACAGTACCTGCTCCCTGAGTAAAACGCTCTCAAGTTACTGTGATAGAAAAACCCACTCCCTGTGTGCCCCTCTGAGACTCTGCTGAGCCACTGATCTAGAGTGGTGTAAAGCAACTTCTTCCTGCATTATCACCGAGAACCATTGCTCAGGAGCAAAGTATTGCGCACAAAAGGCTTCAGATTTAATTTCTGGCATCGCTGATCAAAGAATTTTAGGGTGGCAAGAAATCAAACTGAAGTCCTGGAGAGCATTCACTGGGCAGATTAGACAGCACACGGCAGTTGGTTATAATAATTTCTTACCAAGTCCGGCCTTCTCAACTCTGCCCAAACAAATTTCAGAAAGATAGTGGAACTGTAGCACTTCCAGACATAGAGGATCCTATGCTACTGGGCCAATGGGTTCATTACTAGTCCAGTGGCATCAAACAGGATTTCAGTGTGCATCTTTATTTATAATGCTCTTTTCTGTGCCTAGTAAATATAGGCAGTTGGAAATTAAGGCATGTTTGGGGGGGTTTGTGTTTTTGTTTGCTTGTTTGTTTGTTTGTTTGTTTTGCAGTGCAGCCTGTGCAGTTTGAGTCGCATGAGTCATCTGTTTTGGACAGCAAATATTGCACTATCATTTTCCTAATTAAATACCTGGAGAATAATTTCTAGGCTCATTAGTCATATTACATTCTAATCCTCTCCAGTTTTATAGGTCTTGAAGGACTTGTTTAGTATGACACCAATTACAATAACTAATTAAACAGTATTTAAAATGGTGAATAGTTTGCAACAGAACCAGACTTTCTGCAGACAGGGCAATACAGTTAGAAAAGGCATCCAAGCCTTTTCTAGAAATTGTGAAAAAGAAAAAGAAAAGGAAAATAATCTTGGAACACCTGGGGACTTGATTCAAGCCCTCAGTGAAATCAGTACTAGGATTTTTGTTTCTTGAAGATGTATTACTTTATTTTTATTTATTGAAAGGCTTCTAGATGCATGCTTCCACCAAAATTTCTCTAATTATCACTTTGGCAGTAGCTGTTAAAATGAATGCCGCTGTTATGATCTAATTAGCCAAACAGTTGAAGTAAAAAGGTGAAGAAATGCAGGACATGACCCAAAGAAATAAGAAGCTAGTTCTGTGAGTCCAAGGAACTTGGGAAGTTATTTCTGAGGGCTAATTGTCTCATTGCTTGTGATGGTAATAAGTAGTTTATTATTGATATTATGTACAATGCTGGGAAAACGTTATGGTAATGAGTCAAATTACATGAATTTGACACAACTCCGGGAGGCGGTGGAGGATAGGAGGGCCTGGCATGCTCTGGTCCCTGGGGTCACGAAGAGTCGGACACGACTAAACGACTGAATAAACAAACAAACAATGAGTCAAATAATACCTTTATTGGATCAGTTATGAAAAAGGCAGGCATCCAAGTTCTCCAGTGCTCTTCATAAGCCAAAGATGATATAAAATCTGCAATTAAGGCAGTTAATCCAAACGTAGGGTCAAAAGTGATACCCATGGCTCTTGAACCCAGGAAAGCAAGAGGAGGTTGCCCATATCACAGGCAAAAGAGATATCAAAAATATTGATTTACATTGGCTGCTCTTCTCTCTGAACAAAAGCCCCATTTGGGGCTCTGTCATTCTGTCCACCATCTAAAATCAGTGTTTCCCAATCTTGACATCATGACCCCCAAGGCAGTCACAAAGTGTTTTCTGGAGGGTTGTGGGTCGGCTTATACGTATTGCAACCCTTGTTAAATAATTCCTTCCTTGACTGTTCAGAGATGAATATTAAAGTTAGCATGTTTGTGTGTGTATGAGAAGCAGGCACTCTGGGAGAGAAAGAAGTCTCTAGTTTACCTTATTAAAATGCCTTTTTATGCAATCATGGTGGGGGAGGTTGCTGGTTACCTAGGGGGTTATAACTCAAAAAAAGTTTGAATACCACTGTCTGACCTCTTTGTAGGCTTACAGAAGAAGAATGTGGAGCAAGGTGGCAGCCTTTATGTCAGCAAAAGATAAGTTCAGACTTAAGTATCACATAGGGTGGAAAAACCTCAGCCAAGTTAGCAACTATACCTCCAGCTGGAGCAGGCGAAATCCTCATTTAAGTGCAGTCTAACAGAAAAGCTTCTTCCAATGACAGTAGAATTTGCCCTGGTGGCTGATCATGGTATTTCACATGCAATTTTATTTTGTTGGCCATCTGGTTTCAAGGGCAATGGGCATCACACCTGACTATTTTTGGATCATTTGCCTGAAGCCCAGATTTTTTGTTTCATTTGCCTGACTAAGAGTTCTGGAGAACTCAAAAACCTGTTTTGTTTATAACTCTTCAGTGATCCAATAAAAGTACAATATTACCCAACACATGTTCTTATGGATAAATCACAGGGTTCCTTTTCTATTTAATGTCAAACAACTAACTTTTACATTATTTCTTGTGTTGCCCATTACCTCTTTTTTCATAATACATTTTGTTACTTTTTCATAGTGGGAGAATCTTTTAGACTGTTGGACATTGTCTAGAGGTGCGGGGTAAAAATCAAATAAATGAATGAATGAATGAATGAATGAATGAATGAATGAATGAATGAATGAATGAATGAATGCAATGTCACATTTGAGAAATTCCAGTCAAACTGCTGCTAGAAATTTTAAGTAACTAGGAAACACTACTAGTCACACCAGTAGATAATTTGAGGTTTGTGATGCTGTTCCTTGGTTATCTTTTCATCTTTTGCAGTGGAGGATGTTGCTTGTAACTCATCATTTCCAAGATTTGCTCTTCTCAAATAAGTGTGTGTGTGTGTGTGTGTGTGTGCACGCACGCACGCACGCACGCACGCACGCGCATAAACATACTTCCCTGCTGGAGGTGCACCTTGATAATTTTAGCCTCCGGACTCAGTGATCTCAGCTGGCTGCCTCTCACCTTTAATTGGGCACATCTATTATTCCGCTTATATCTACCACTTTTTCAAAACCTTTCACTATAATGTACTTCATTTAATGGACTCTCTTGCATCCCTCTATGTGAACATATACTGTATGTGTGTATAAAGTGTCTGAGGAACTTCTTAGTCAATATTTTATCATTCCTTCCTAATACATTTAGAATATGACTTTACGTAAGAACAGGCCCTTTCAGGAGTAGAATGTTCATAATGGCTCCAGTTGCCCTCTGTTGCAGCCCAAACACTTGAAGTATTTGAGACAGAAGTCCTGGGCTCTTTCCTCCTCCGGTTGTGCAAGGAAATGGCTTCCAAAGCCACAGGCTAGTCTTCTTGCCAGCAGCTCCAGATCACCAGAAATCGTGCAGCAGGCAGAATGCTTTCGAGATGCTAATCTTGAACACACTCATCCTGAAAACTCCAAGGAGGTGAATGTTCCTCTAGCAAATCACTCTGAAAAACTAGAGCCTGAGACAAATGGTGACCATCTCAGCAGGAGAACTGAAATCACAAAATCTCATTCGTCTGTTGCAACAGAAGCACTCCTTGGCAAGACCCAGGCAGAAGAGGAGGAACTGCAGCAGTTAATGATAAAGCTGAAGGATGCACTGCTTTTCCAAGGACAGCCAGGTAAAAATTCCCAGTATCCCCTGGGAGTGGGACTCAGCCTATTGTACATCTGTCCCAATGCTTTTGCTCTGTGATCCTTTTGAAATGTGTAGATCCCTTCTCTTGCCTTGATGTTCACACCATCTTACAAAAGAGACCACCAGAGTTCTCCATCATGCTAACAACATACTGTAGGGCTTCACAACATTCCAAGCCTGCTCTATAAATCATTACTTTAAAAGTGTAATTGTAGCACCTGCTGTTTTATATGCTCATCATGATACATTTCAATGCATTTGGCAGATCAGCTATGTCGTTAAATAAATAGCTTGAGTCACTATTAGAGAAACAGCAATTTTATAGCCATGTGCAGTGACTTCAATGGAATGCTTTTTTAATGAATATTTTACACATGGGGGCAACAAAAGACTCTTCCTTATGAGTATATTTTAAATATTTGAAGTATTTTGTATCTATTACATCAATCCCTGTGGAAGAAGGAGATTAGGTCCTGGTGGTTTATTTCAGTGTTTTATTTTGAATTGTATCATGTGTTGTAAGTGTGCATTCATTGGGTTTTTACGATGCCTTGGAGTTCAATGATTTATTGTGATTTTCATTGTTTTATTGCTCTAGTTATTGTACAGTACAAGAGAAATAGATGCCTTAATATGTATTCATCCACTCCTTTGAACAATTAAATTGAAGAGTATAAATATAAATAGCTATGCTGTAAATTTTCAAATAGCTAGCTGTGTAGTCTGTTCCACCATCTGTAACAAAAAAAAATGAAACAAAATAGCTGAAACTCTGTTGCTCAGGGTATTTTTAAATTTTTTTGCAACTTTCAGTGTGTTTCTAGCTGGCAAATTAAGCATCTGGACTACGATCCTGAGGGGGAGGGGCACACATCCAAATTGCAGCTGAGACTTTTTATTTGCCACTCTGGCTCAGAATGAGAGTTACAAAATGATTCCTGCCATTGCTCACCAGCCATTAGATATGCTGGCTGGGGTTGATAGAAGTGGCAGTTCATCAACATCCGAATGGCCACACATTCCCATTCCCTATCAAAAGGATGCAAAGCCATACAGAAGAGCCACTGTGTTTTTAGAAGACCCAGTTCATTTCGGTATCATGTGTGCAGAAGAACGTCCACATGCCCCTAGGTTTTGGTGTGTCTCCAGTTTCCTATCCTATGAGCAACTCCTCCACATGAAAGATCCCAAGACAGAAAAGAAAGCAGGCTGAGACCATCTAGAGGAGTGGCTCCTAACATGAGGTCCCCTGATGCCCTTGTACTAAAACTCCCAGAAGCCTTCATCTGGCCAGGATTTCTGGGAGTTTTAGTCCAAGAACATCTGGGGATCTAAGACTGAGAAACACGGACCTGAAGTTTCCCCTAGCTAGTTTTTCTCTTCTCCTGTTCCTCTACAGGATCTTCAGCTACCAATGGTCCGGTGGGGCAGATCCTGATGAATATCTCTCAGATTGGTTTGCAGTGATTTTAGAGATCTAGTTTACTAAAACGACCTAGAAACTGCAGAACGCCTCCAACCCAGTCAAGCCTTTTTTAAAACTGTCCCCAGCCCTAACATTAGGCAGAGTGCAGCAGCTGTCTCAAGCAGCTTCTCTTGTTTGTTTTACAGAAGTAAAAGGTTCTGCTTTTCAGCATAAGACAAGCAGAGGTATTGTTTGCTTAAAGATACACTGATTCCACAGCTTCTTCTCATTTCTTTTTTTCCTCTGTCTCCCTCCCCGCTCCCTATTTCAGATCACCCGTCTGTTCTCAAGGAGGAGCTGCTCTCCAAAGCCAAGCATGTTTCCAAAGCATTCTCTCATCTCATCGGCCAAGTCACGTTGCCCACTTGAAACTATGAGGGCAGGGGGTCTGGGCCCTGCCTGCCTGTCTGGCGGATTACCCAAGGGAAAGAAGGCCTCCACAGAACATCCACTCCCAGGGGAGTTCACAGAGTACTTGAGAAACTGCTGAAACACTCATTTTCCACAAGAGTGGGTTTTCATACAGTGATAGGGGTAAATCCTTCCATGCAATAATTTCCCTGGTTTTTTGTATTCTGATATTTTGGGTTGGGCAGTATTAAGTCAGCATAGATTTTTGTTCATCTAAGTGTATATCTGTGAGAGTCAGTGTAGTGCAGTGAACAGAGTGATGGACTAGGATTCAGATCCCTCCTCAGCCATGAAAACTGACTGGGGTGGGGATGGTACTGCTCACACCACTCTTTAAATGTCTCTTGCACCTTGAAACTTAACTAGGTTTGCAGTAAGTTGCGTGTGACTTGATAACGCATAACAACAATGAAGTCTACATGCTGATGATGTGATGCACCTATCCATGGGAATCAAAGCAAAAGCAAAAATAAAGTGATGGCAATAAATTCACAGATGTGTTCTACAACAGGGGTCCCCAACCGCTGGGCCGTGGACCGGGGCACCAAGACAGATTTTCGAGGGCTGAAGGAATGTGCACATATGTGCACACACACACACACACATGCCCCCTGCATAAATGCACGGAAGCCTGCCTGTTTCGCACATGCACACACGCATCCCCTCGCCTGCCTGCTCGCACACCTCCCACATGCACACGCACACACACCCACCACATGCACAGATGCACACATTAACGCCTCCCACACACATGCACGCAGGGATGCCCGCCACCCCACCCCAGGTCCTTGGGAGAATAGTCTTCAACTAAACGATGCACACATGCACGCCTCCCACACACATGCATGCAGGGATGCCTGCCACCCCACCCCAGGTCCTTGGGAGAGTAGTCTTCAACTAAACTAGTCCCTGGTGTCAAAAATGTTGGGAACCACTGTTCTACACAGTGATATGTTAATATTAAATGTGAGACATTTTTGACATGAAATGTTAGCCTCAGTCACAACTTGTAGCCAAAGCTAGCATTTTATGCCAAAGCACTGTATGTTTTATATTTATATGATTTTTTTTTGAATCAGATATGTGAAATTATCATCATTTTTAAACAATCTTGACAGATTTGGAATTGCTTACATCTTCTGATCCAAGACGGAAGTACTGCCTTTTGCTGCTGGCCACCAGAGAGCTGCTGCCTTTTCCCCAAGCCATGGGTTGTGGAGAATACACAGTCAGCATAGATATCCCAGAAGAGCTGGTGCAGGTCCCAGAACAAAGCCCCATGCTTCAGGTTCTCTGAAGATTTCAGGAAGATTGTAAAGTCCCAAAAGCCACTGACAGAATCAGAAACATGTGGGTTCCTCATCTCCAGCAAAATGGCAGATGAGGACTCCCAGCACTGGGGATCAGCTGGACCAAGATCCAGGAGATCCACCTGGTTATAACAGAAGGCAGGTGCCACGTAAAATAAAAGAGAGCAGGTGAATCCTATACCGTGGGGAATCTCCCTCGTGACATTAAAGTCCATGGACTTTTTGCCCATGGACTTTAATGTCATGAGGGAGATTCACCACAGCTGCCAAGAACAAAACATATTATAAAATTCCCTTCCTCTCCAAGGTAAGAGCTGTAATTCAAACAAAGCACATTCTTTTTTTATGCCAAGATCTCATGCCAATCGTTGGCATCTTTCAAAAGAGCTAGGAGAAAGAAGACTCCACTCTGAAACTCTGGAGGGTCCCCTGATAGTCAAGGTAGGTAATCCAGAACCTGAGAGACCCATGGCCTGACTTGATATAAGGCAGATTCCTATGTTACTTGGGTCAAGTAAATAAAGGTATTACTCATATATTTTACACAAATCCCCCAGATCTGATTGAAATCTTACTACCACCATTTGAATCCCACGGACCACCTTTTGTAAAGCACCTGGTGTCTTTTTATTGGAAGAAAAGTAGAGGATAAATGAACAAATGAATGAATCAAATGAACCAATAACATATATGCTATAGGCTGAAAAGGCAGGAGGGAAATTCATTGATTTGTACATTAGCTACCATAATTTTTGACTGGGGTCCACAGAACGTTCTAATTAGTTTCACATGCCATGGAGTACTTGGGCCTGTTTTTTGGCCTAAAGACCTTTGAATTTGGAAAACACTGCAAAACCATTGGCAGTGGACGCTGTTCTTGAAAGAGAACATGCAGTCCAAAATGCTATGGACTAGTTCTTAAGACCTTGGCTGTTGTCCTTTTCTGCCTTTTAATCCTGATTGAGACCTCATTGCTCTCTCTTTTGCCAAAGAAATGCCAAAACAACAGGGCAAGAAGCAATGGTTTTAAAAAATGAAGTAAATAGACATTAAAATTTAGGACCACTGTTCATCACAGAGTTATACCCACAGTGGAACAAGCTAGAGATGTGTCTCCGTGTAAGATATTTCCCTGAAAGCGGGGACAGGGAAGTGCTGAGAATTGTTTAGAGATAATTTGGGAAGGTCATAGCAACAGAACAACTTTTCTGAACTTGGTTCCTCCCACCCCATGATGTTGGACTACATCCCGTATCAACCCCACTCTGCATGAAAAATCATTGAGGTGATGGGGGTCATAGTCTCAAATATACATAAACCACTGTGTTGCATTTGTTGATGCAGTAGGTTAGTCCACATTTCCTTTGTCTTTTGCATTCACTTCTATGACAGTAGTTCCTTCATTATCATTACCTTTATGTCTCTTGTGATGCTCTTCTCTTCTCACTGAAACAATCTTTCCCCTCTGTCAGATAATATTTTCTCCCGTTTGATATTCTGCACAGTGCCAGCTTCACTGGCTTTGCTAAATCAAAGCAATACTCTCAATATATGATTTAATTTGGAAGCATCTGGGCATAACAGGCTGTAATTTCAATTGCAAAACCTTCCTTCGTTATGGTCAGTTTTGGTGCCTTGATCATTAGAAAAATGGCAAGTTATTTATAAATAGTAAACTAAAATGCAGTCTAATAGACCAGTGAAAATTTCTCAATAAGAAAAAAAAGTTTGTTATAATTGTTGAGAAATAGGAGCTTGGAGTTTTTATTCCATTTGTGGGAGCATCCTTTTGAATACTCCTATGTGTAAAAGTGGGAGAAACAGAAAAAGATCCATTGATTTCCCCTTCCCTTTCAACCTTCAGTAATTCTCTGCCCTTTTTCAGGGGATCTCAGACCTGAAACAATGACAGCCCAATGAGGACTGAGTGTGCTGAGTGACCCCCCCCCCCCCCCAGAGTGAAGTGAAGTGACCCTTGGGCAAGAAAAAATGGATGTGAGGCGTAGAATCCTTCCTTTGGTGGAATGTTTGGCTGGAACCCACAGGAGGAAGTGGCACCTCGTTTAGAAATTCAAGAATAGGCGATTCCCTTTTTATAGGGCACAAATCAACCAACCAACCAACCAATCGATTAATAGTAGTTTGAAATAAGTAAGTTTTGATAAATAAAATTTTAATAAATAATAAATAGTTTAGAGTGTCAGAGGGAAGACACGTAAGAAGAAAGGGGTTAATAACAACAATAATCACAGGCTGCCAAGCTGATTTCGCCCTAGGGCGACCCTTTCCAGGGTTTCGTTCCCACACAGCTGTGAAGCGCAGGGACCTGAACTCCAGCCCAAGTCTTCCAGCCCTTGCTGTGAAGATCGAAGCACAGAGAAGAGCCATGTGCTCTGCCTTGGTGTCAATAATTAAGTAAAAAAGAGGAGGAGGAGGAGGAGGAGGAGGGTATTATCCTGAGGTCCCCTAACTTCTAAAGATTTTCCCGCTCCGTGTTTTCTACCTCGCCCTTGCTTTCTTCTTGCCTTCTCTCTCCCTCCCTCCTTCTCTCCCTCTCTCTTGTCGTTGCCTCTTCTCTTTCGGTCCGATTCTTTCTCTTTCCCGCACACGGCAGGACTCTCCTCTTCCTCCTCCTCCTCTTCCTCCCTCCTGCCCCCCCCCACACTTCGCAGCAGGAAGCCTCCTCCACTCCCCGAGGGGCGCACCAAGCCAGGCGGTCCAGCTTGCTCCGCCGGAGTCGCTCAAACTCCTCGCTCGGCGCCGCCGGCGGAGCTTTCCCTCCAGAGCGGCGAGGCTGCTGCCGGGCGAGGCAGACGCGCAACGCTTTACGGTGCAAGGTTTCGCGGTGCCGGAGAAGGTCAGGCACGAGCTTGGGCTTTCTGCTTAGCCCTGGCAGGGGGGTGCCCGCTGAGAAACTGCCCAGGGGGAGAAGTTCAGGCACAAGCTTGGGCTTTCTGCTTAGCCCTGGCGGGGGGTGCCCGCTGAGAAACTGCCCAGGGACTCGGTCGCCGCCAACCGGCACGAGGGAGATGCCCGGGGCCCTGGGCGCTTGCCCTTCGTTCTCCCTGAGCCGGCGGAGTCTTGGGAGCTCTCCTTGGTGCTGAACCTGTCCGGCGCTATTGTGCGCCCCTCCCCTCATCCCCTGCCCAGGCTCGGCTCGGCTCTGCTTTGGAAGAATAAGCGGTGGTAGTGGTGACGGTGGTGAGACAGAGATGCTCTTACCTCTCTGAATTCGGGGAGGCCCCTTCAAGTGATCCCCCGGTGAGGATGACTCTGTCTCAAACTTCCTCCTTCCCGAGAAGCTGAAATCTGCCTTGGTCTTCAGAATTCCCCTTTGCTCTTTTATAAAGAGGTGGGAGTGGTTGGCGTTTCTTTCTCTTGCATCAAAGCCCTGGGCAGACCCCTTTCCTCCCCCCACCCCTTTCAGATGCAATCGATGAAACAGATGACTTCCTGACCCTCCTCGGCATGGCGTTTCTTTCGCAAGCCCTTCAAAAGACAACGTGCTCCAAATGCCACTCAAAGATAATGCAAAACTGAGGCTGCCTCTAGGGGGGCCCTTTTTCACCCCCAACAGCTGCTACTGGTGGCTTTGCAGCGATACAAGGTGTAACAGAAGCTTCTGTAATCCTCCACCTAATTTGTATGTGAGCAGAATTAGTCCATCAAGGGAGAAGCCAATTCCTTTCAGAAATGTATTTATGGTGGACAAAACCAGCCCAATTTGATGTCAATAGAAGAGGTTGAAAACACAACCCTCCATGTGCCTATTCTGTATTGGATGGGGACATACCTATACAAGCACATTGATCTACTACCTCGTGAATGTCTCTTTAAGAGCTTAGTGGGAGTTATGAGCATGGAAAGAAGCTGTGGATAGAATCCTCAACATTCAACCTATTCTTTCTAAGAGTTGGTTATGTTATCAGGGCGATAACAGGGTGACAGTTCCGAGAAGGAGATTGTGCCTCTCAGCATGTAAAAATTGTCTTTCATGGGCCAAATCCAGTCTGGAGAGGCTCGGCTAACAAGACCACTCGGTTGCACAGATTGTGACAGCGCCTCTGCAAAAGCTGGGATGGCTGGCCATCTGTGTGGTGCTAGATGTTAAGGGACCACACTTAGCTGAACCCAGGGAGGCTTCATCTCCATGTTTCCTTTGGCCA